TGTTTCCTTTCAATGGCTGCAAACAAAGACAAGAGTGACTGTTTTTACTATGCATCGGTGGGCCGAATCCACAGCGAGCCTCCACACATCAATATATGCATATAATACCAAAATATTTCATTTCAAAGACCCCTAATATTTACCTGTATCAAAAATATTATATAGTACTGAAAGTATGCCTTAAACAGGATATCCCCATCTTAGGAACAGGTGATATGATATTATATAACAGGGTCTGTGGTAGGGCTATCACCTCCACTCTCCTGAACACCAAATCACATACAAGTTCAGACATATACGAAACTTCCTTTTAAAGCACATTTTAATCTGCGGTCTTCATTCCTTGCTTTTTCTTTTCTGGAGCAAATCTAATGCACAGTGGACTGTGGGGACATCTACTGTTGGCTTTGCACAGTTCACCTTCTTTTCCCAGAGAGAGCTGGAGACCAATGTTAATGAGAAGCAAATGATCTGCATTTTCCTGTTAAGAGCCGTATCCTAACAGATCAGAGTCAATAGGAGTTACCAGCACAGTATTCCTCACCAGTGACTTTCTTAAGTTAACCACTAGTCAAAATGATGGTCTACAGCTGAGCTGGAAGGCCCAGTTATAAGGCCTGGAATGTGGAGTCTGGAATCCTTCAAAGCACTATTCACCAAGTAGGAGAATTCGGGATAAGGTAGTCTAGTACTGGACCCCAAACATAAGACCTTGATATAACAATAATAATGGTAATTATCACACCATTACACTCTTATTCATGTGCCGAGATTAAGACTGTGTGAAAAGTTTGCCCATTATTCTCTCACCGAGTGCTGCAAGCAATGATGCCCCAAAGACCACTCAATGGCACAAGTCCTATTGATTATTAACACTGCTTTACATTTTAGTGCTTCCCTCTTAATTCTCAACTAGCCCACTGGCAGATTCTTCCCCAGGAAGGTCAAGTACAATGATTCCCACTTTGAAAGACAACTGAAGCACTGTGAGGTCATGTTGCTTAAGAGAGTCAAGAGCCTTGACCCCTTACTTAATAACATCCTTGTAAGGTGTCTTTGTTGAACTTACTCTGTGGCATTGGCATTCATTCAGTGGTTACGTTCACCGAGGCCCCAGTGAAGGTACAAAACCCTCCCTCAAAGAGCTAGTCTCAGGCCTCTTTCCTAATCCAAAATTTGGAGAGCTCTTCCTCTGGGCTGGCTTTGAGCTTATAAGGAATTTGTCAATCTCAAGGTCATCTTTCCCCTTCACGATATGGGCTTGCCAATACAAAAAAAAAAATTCTTTTTCAAAAATTTTTTAAAAATCCAAATTCTCTTAAATCTTGTTTTCCCAAGTCAATGGCAAGGTAAGAAATCTAAATGTTCTTCTCATCAGAGTGAGCAACTCTTTGAGTTGGGAACCATATTGATGCGACAAATTCGTCAACGTTTCTGTGTACAAATGCAGAACCTCAGATAGTTAGCGCAGTTGACATGTGGCAGTGCATGTGCATCCTACCTGAATAATGATGGTGAGGCTCTTGAGGGCTTTTTAAGGAAGCTGAGATTTCTGAAATTATAGAGAAGATTGGCATTTTAATTACTTGGCTGGAGATAAACACATGCTCCTGAATATATTGCCTTCAAAGTTATTATTGAACAAGTTAATCAGAAAGGCTTCTCGGTATTTGAAAAAGATTGCCTAATACCCTTTAACCACATTATTGTGCATGGTATCCTGACAGCTTCCAATCATCAATGCAATATCTCCAAACATATTTATATAGGGAATTGAAGAAAGACAGGTAATATTAGCCTCAAAGATCTATTTCCTCTGAACCAATTACACCTCTGGGTTGCAGAAGGCACTCAGCTGCCCATCACACTTCACGACATCCCAGAAGCACAATTCTCTGAGCTCCCTACCAAGATGCAGTACCCATATAAAGACATTATTAATATCAGGTTATTAGCAGACAACTTCCATGACCTAAAATGACAACAAAATGATGAAACACATTAAGAGGTATAAGCAGAAACAAAGGAGTGGGTGGAGAATATGACACCAGGGATCTGCTTGGTTGCAGAAGGACTGTGTGCTGGGAACATCTCCTGCAGGTTTAACTGGTTCTCTATTATGTGCTCAAGTCCCAAATTACAAGCCTCCAGAGAAATCCTTTGCAACAGTTTTGCCATTTCATAAAATCAAAATTAAAGTGGAGAACTTCGGTCTCATGGTGATCACTGCTTTATACCTAGTAGAGTGTGCAGCATAATGAACACAATTTCATAGATCTCTCCGGCTCCTTGTTGCTGGATAACGAAAGGAACAGAAATCCCTTCCTTTGGGGGTGCTCGGTAAAAAGTAGGATCAGCAGAAAAGTCTCTTCCTTTCTGATCTCATGTAATAATAATAATAATAATAATAATAATAATAATAATAAATGGCATTCAGTTCCCACTGCATGTAATGCTAGATGTGACAGATGTGAATAAGATGTCTCTCTTACACTTAGAGAAAAGCAAATATGAAATAGTGGGAAAGAAAGACATGTGAAACACAATCACAATACAGTTTGCTAAGTTATACAACAGAGGTGTATACAGAAGCTTATGGAAACTTCATAGACAAATAATATGAAATACTTTAAAGAATATGGGCATCTAAGTCTGATAAAGCTAAGTTTCAATCCTGGATTTACCACTGAAGGAGCTATGAGATCTTGATTCAGTACATATTTTTTGAACACCTACTATGTACCAACCACTGGTCTATGCTCAAGAGAAATTATATTAATGAACACAGATGAAGACTTTGGCTACATTCTAGTAAAGGGAAGTAGAAAATAAACAAACAAGTAAATATATAATTTATATAGTGTATTACATATATATCAAGTTAAAAGGGTTAGAAAGTATGGGGGATAGGGAGTTTACCATTTTACACAGGGTGGCTAGGCTAGGCCTCTTTGATAAGGTGAAATCTGAACACAGGCCTAAAGGAAGAGAGGGGGAGAGTCATATGGATAAATGAAAAGCATTCCAGGCAGAGGTAACAGCAAGCGCAAACGCCCCAAGGCCCGGACCATGCTTGCTGTGTGAAGGAAGAGAAGTGTGGCCCCAGTGGACTATGCTGAGAGGAAATGAGGTTGGAGAGTTGGAGGAGAAGCAGATCAAAAGGCCCTTGTAGACTGGATTTTGCTTTTACGGAGTGAGAGGAAACACCTTTTCAACAAAAGAGTGACTCAACTGGACTTGCAGTTTGGAAGGGTTATTCTGGCTGCTCTCTGGAAATAGACAGAGAGCAGTAGTTTGGAGGCCATCCTGTAAACCAGGGAAGAGATGGAGAGTGCTATGTGGAGGTAGCAAAGTGATCAGATTCTCTGAAGGACTTATTGATGGGCTAGACATGGAGATGTGAGAAAATGGGCGATAATGACAAGACTTTGGCCTCAGCAACCAGATGGATGGAGTTACTATTTCCTCAGATGGAGGAGAAGATAGGTGGAACATTTTGTTTGCAGCGCCTTCTAGACCACGCGGAGGTGTTAACAGCTGGGTGGTCATATTCTGCATGGCGGAAATACTGAATGAACGGGCTCATGAACATGAGCCTGGAAATTGGGACTGGAACCAGGCTGTCAAGATCACAAGAAAGACTAAGCAATTTGCAGCCTATCCTGTAGGAGGTAAAGGAAAGCATAGCAGTGAAGATTTATGGCTCAGAAAGATAATTCCAGTAGGAATGTGGGCCAGTTTAAAGGGAGAGAAAACCACCACCATACTAGCGCAACATCAAGGGCGGGACGGGGGGCAAAATAAAGTACACGCTTTTTGTTTAGGAAAATAAATGTTGGAGGCTTGAAGGCAGGAGCAGTGGGGGAGAGCAAAACAGACAGCTTCTACAGATGGAGGTGGAGGTAACAGAGTTAGAAGACAGAGTTGAAAGCTGAGAGCAGTGGTGTGGAAGGGCACAGTAAATGACTGAGGTTTCCAGCTTCGGTGAAGGAAGAGGAGGCTATCAGAGAACCAAAAGTCAGTCAACGAAGACAACAAAGAAATAGAAGAACAGCCAGGGAAGAGTAGCCTCAAGGAAACTTAGGAGATGGATAAAATGGTCAACGTAAGGCATCGCCGAAATAGCTCAGTTGGGAGAGCGTTAGACTGAAAATGGTCAACGTAAGTGCCACTGTTTTGACGAGGACTAAAAAGAGATCATGTGGCTTAGCAGTCAGCATTGGATAGCAGTAGAGTGGTGGGGACAGACACCATGGGCTGATGAGCAAATGTTAATACTGTTTCAACCCATTTGGAGGGGAGGAAAAGGAGTGGCAGCTTGAAAGCCATGTAAAATCAAGGACATGATTATTTTCTTCTTTTGTATAGAAAATGGCTTAAATTTGTTTGTAGGTAGAGGAGAAGGAATCGACTGTAAAGGGGGCACTGTAAAACCCAATAACAGAGTGAAACAAGACAACAGAAGGGAAAGATACCCAATCTGCATCAAGGGGTCAAGAATATGGAAAAGAGCTCACGGAGTGTGGTGAAGTTTAAAGTTAGCTACTGAGAGTGGCTTTCCCAGGGAGTTGTCTCACACGACGGCCCTACTTAGCCAGCTGGGTAAGAGTCCTACTGAAAAAAATGTAGGAAAAGGTATCCCCTTATAATCTTATGAATAGCTCTTAATGAGTAACATGTAAAAAAGTAACATGTCTAAATGAGCTCAGTGCTTATACCCTCACACACAAACAAAACTAGAAAATCACAGTTAAATACAGGCAATCCAAAATTAGACATCAGTCCTGATGTACCTGGAGAAAGACATTCAACTTTCTATTTTTATGCTGAACTTTCTACTTTGCATATTAAACAGGTCATAGATAGAATTTCAAGAACTACAAAAATCTCAACAGAAGACACTGATAAGACAAAAAAATATTTAAATACAAAAACTTACTGCCAACTCCATTTGAACTTCTCAACCTGTTGAAAAATTAAAGTTGTTTAGACAATGCTTTACATTTTCCAGTGATCAAAGGAAGAAGTATGTGAAACAATAACAATATAGAGTCTATACATATATATAAGTACTAGAGGCTTGGTGCATGAAATTCATGCACTCAGGGGGGTCCCTCAGCCTGGCCTGTGCCCTCTCGCAGTCCGGGAGCCCTCGGGGGATTTCTAGAGCCCGGCTTCTGGCTGAGCAGTACTCCCCCTCTGAAGCATACTGACCACCAGGGGGCAGCTCCTGAATTGAGCGTCTGCCCCCTGGTGGTCAGTGCGCGTCATAGCAGCCAGTCGTTCTACCATCGGGCTGAAACCAGCTCTCTGACATCCCCAAAAGGTCCCAGATTGCAAAAGGGTACAGGCCAGGCCGAGGTACCCCACCAGTGCATGATTGGGCCCGGGGAGGGACGCGGGAGATTGGCCAGCTGAGGAGGGACCATGGGAGGGCTCCAGGGCATGTCTGGCCTGTCTCACTCAGTCCCTATAGGCTAGGCCCCAGCAGCAAGCTAACCTTCCAGTCAGAGCTTCTGCCCCCTGGTGGTCAGTGCACATCATAGCAACTGGTCAACCAGTTGACTGTCTGCCTCCTAATGGTCAGTGCACGTCATAGCAAGCAGTTGAGTATCTTTAGCATATCATTAGCATATTACGCTTTGGTTGGTTGAATGGCCAATCAGACAACCGGACACTTAGCATATTATGTTTTTATTATATAGGCTGTATGTGTGGATATATTTCATTGACAGAAAAGTATCAGTTACCTTTGACCCCTATCTTCATCAACCAAGAAATAGTTCAAATATGCATGTAATTCATCTACTATGTAGGACCTAAGCTAACTGAAAAGCAGTTGTTGGGTTTTGGTTTTAATTAGCTATGATCACACAACATATATAAGATTAATTGTGTTTGTGTTGTTCTGGATCATTGAACTAAAGGGTCCCTGAACTATGCAAAGCAGATGCCTACAAATGAGTCTGTGAATATCTCCAGACAAACCTACAAATCAGTTTCATTAGCCCACGTGGCCCCTAAATGTTCACAGGCTGAAATTAGCTTTAAATTGTTACTTGCCCTGCTCAAGTGCACAAGTGGCCATGGGCAAGTCTGAGTAAATGCATTTAAAGAATATCTCCAGTATGTAAAGTCCTTGGGGGGGAAAGTACAATTACAATTATTGTTTAATTTCATGCTGCAATAACCCACTACTCTGCATGTGCACAAACTATTGAACCTTTGGGAGAAGAAAGTCACGTGTGCTTTATGTCTAGAGGCAGGCTTGCACACAGACCTTGATAAAAAGCTCTAGCAGAAAAGGTAATCTCTGATGGAGCTGACTACAACCTGAAAGTCACATCCCACCTGCTTGGTAGCAGCTGGCCCTTTGTAGAATAGATGGTTTTAAACTCTGCTTCTGTGGCTGTATGGATAGTGAATTTGATGATATAACTGGAAAAGTCCAGAAAACACTACAAATAAAATAGAATAATCTTTGCTCGTTTCATTTTAAAATTTTATTTCTCTGACTACTAATAAAATTCCAGGATTCTCAAGTCAACAACCAGGTGTCTATCACTTTCTCCCCTCCACCCCCCCTTTCCCCCCCACCCCCAGCCTTGCCGATCTTTCTTTCTCTCCTTCTCCATATTTTTCAAATTTGCTGCCCTGACAAACACTTAAGATGTTAATGAGAAGCCAAAAATAAAAAAGATTAACCTCATGAACAAAAAAGAAAAAATGTTTAAACAAGAATTATTTTTAAAACTAAAGAAAAAAAAAACATAATCAGGTTTTTAGTCTCAGTCTTTTTCTTTAGGCAAGACAGCATCATCTCTACTCTTTAATGCAAATCCCACAATCCTATCTATCAGAAAAGATGTGGTGCTCATTATTCCATGTGTGCTTTTTGACATGGAAAAGACAAATGGTTAATTTGCTATAGTACCAGGTGCTACATTATCATCTTAAAAGGCACTGAGATGAGATCTTGTTGCCAGAAATGGAAAAACATGAAGAATAAATGATTTTCATTTGTTGCTATCAAAAAAATACGGTCATTGGACAAACACTATATTTCTCCTTTTCTGACCAAATTAAGCCTGTATTCCCAATCCTGTTAAAAATAAAAACAGAAGCCAAAGATGCTAAAGACAGACATTTAGAAATACTCACAGGGAGTTCCTATTGAGGTTGGTGCTCCAGGAATTCCTCAAAGAGTTTTTACTCAGATCCTGAGCAGAAGGGAAAGGTTATTACATGTTTACCCAACATTTTCCTACCCCACGCTTCCAGTAACATGCTTGCAAAACACAATCCTTGAAAAGTACAATCCTTCCCCCCTTCCTATAGCTCATTATTTCTCTTTTACTTAACATACTAGACATAGGCTAGAAAGATGCATAATGTTAGCACAAAATATGAGTAACTCAATCTGCTGATGGACTTTAACAGAATGAAATTATTTGTGTGGTGACAGCAAAGAGAAAATGTAATATATAAAGGTTTTTACAAAAATGAGAGTGAAGCCCAGCCAGTGTGGGGTCAGTGATCGACTGTCAACCTATCAACCGTGTTGTCACAGTTCGATTCCCTATATCAGGGCACATGCCAGGGTTGCAAACTCGATTCCCAGTAAGGGGCACGCAGGAGGTAGCTGACCAATGATTCTCTCTCATCATTGATGTTTCTATCTCTCTCCCCCTCTCCTTTCCTCTCTGAAATCAATAAAAATATATTTTAAAAGAAACTAATATTATTTGTAAAAGAGAAATGAGAGCGAACATATAAAATCAAGAAGAAATAAAGGTCAACATTGACAGGAAACATCAATCATTACATCATGTCCTATCATTAGTAGACTTTTGTGTCAGTTGATTATTTAGAATAACCTTACCCTGAAATCAGCTCATTCTTTTTCCTATTTAGATTCAACTATTATTTCTCGAAATTTAGGACACTCCAGCCATTACTCTAGGCATTTCCATTGGTGTTATTTTTGTCATCCACTATCAATAACCCCCTAAGAGATTAGCCCCATTTTAGAGACTCAGCTCCTGAAGCTCAGAGGTTAACGGATGTATACCTATAGCTTTGAAACCCAGGAAGTGGCACAACCAGGACTGGACAGGGCACACAGATCCCTGCCTCCAATTACCTTCAAGCAATATTACATTTTACTATCAAAACCTTTCACAGCCTGGCCACGGCTCAGTGGTTGAGCGTCTGCCTATGAACCAGGAGGTCACGGTTAGATTCCTGGTCAGGGCACATGGCTAGGTTGCCGGCTCCATCCCCAGTGTGGGGCGTGCAGGAGGCAGCCAACCAATGATTCTCTCTCATCATTGATGTTTCTCTCTCTCTCTCCCTCTCCCTTCCTCTCTGAAATCAATAAA